TGTAGCCGGCCGGGAAGGTTCCGTCAGGGCAGGCGGGTTCTCCTTTACCCATTTTCATGGTTGAGGAAATTTGATCAATTGCGTTGAGAGACCAGTTGACCAGATCCATCATTTTGATTTTGGAGGAAAATGCAGAGAGAGGCTCCGAGACAGTTTGACAGAGACGGTTGAACAATCTTTGTTTTCAGGTCATTTGACAGTTGTTTTGAGGCTCCCTTGTTGCCCGGCTTCAGAGAAGATGCAAAGGGGAGAACAACTTGCAACTGGCCACTCTAAATACACTTTCTCATGATTGGCTTCACCTGTGTATGTAGGTCAAGGGTCAATGAGCTTACTAAACACATTTTGTGTTAATTAGTGCTAAAGGTATTCAAATCAATAAAACAACAAGGGTGCCCAAATTTATGCACCTGCCTACTTTTGTTTAAGTAATTATTGCACACTTTCTGTAAATTCTATGAACTTCATATCACTTCTTAAATACCACTGTGTTTGTTTGCTATATGATATATTTAATTGAAATTGCTGTTCCGAACAACCAATGATCCATAAAGGAAAATCTTGAAAATGATCAGGGCTGCCCAAACTTTTTCATACCACTGTATTTGCTGGGTCTTAGTTCACTACCTAAAAAAAATTGAGTGCAAGATGAAAGAACTTAGAGTTGTGTACATTATTTACACTGATTGATCATTTAGTTAAGATTTGTGAAAAGGTCATGTGACTCAGGAGAAATCCCTATTTCCAAAGACCAATATTGCTGCCTAATCATTTTTTTTCAAAAGTACTCCCTCAATTTGGAAACCACTGGACAAGTGATATTTTTCAAGGGTGTATTTGGGTCAGTAACAACAGCAGTTTGTGATTGGAGCCTCATTTACATAATGCTGATTGCTGCTGCAGTTGATTGTATTTTAAACTTATTCCATTTATGTGAATTCCCCTGGAAACATCACATTGTCCAGCTGGTGGTTGATTGGAGGCCATGTGTCATTAAGGACAAAGTATTTCTTTATTTTTTTATTTCTTAAGTTATTTCTTCCAGTAGTGGGTGCCAAACTTTTTTGGCCGAACAGCCTGCATTTATTTATTAATTCAAATGTCAGCTTATTTGAATTATACAAAGAAAATGTTTATTTGCATGGCTTTATTGTGTGGAAAAATCCCAATACAACACATTTTCTATCAGGCGACCCCCCTAGTGGCAGCTAGCCACTGTTACACTCTGGGAATACCTGTCTTAGAGCGAGTTGGTGCAGTAGCACCTCAGCATTTCAACAATGTTGTCACACAGGGCACAGATTCTGTTGATTTAGTCCAATGATGTAACTATTAACCTCTGTTACACTCTGTTACAAAAAAATGCGTTGACATATTTTCTTAATTACAACCAATCCTTTCTCAGCTAAAGTGCTAAAACATAATCAAGATGAGACCGTTTGGTTCTAAGAGAAAATCTATTGGTGACTGCTGTTGGCAAACAGAACATTGGAATAACTGTTCTAGCTGTCGGGAATCCTGAGATTGGATTGTAAGCAGCTAAAACAAAAACTACAGGCAGTGTTGCAGTCGCATCAACAGTCGTACTAGTAGCAGTTATCAGTATTATCAGTGAAAGTGGAAGGACAGTTGATTGAAGTGGTGTATTTGTAGGACAGATAGTGGACACAGTAAAAAGAATAGTAGTACTAGCAGTAATGGAAAATTGTGATATAGACTGAGTGGAATAAAGGTTGTAAATAAAACAGTGGTAGAATTAGAACCAGAAGTAATGAAACAGTCAGAGTGGTGTTAATAATATCAGTGGAAGATGTTTTTGTGAGAGTGGTCAAAATAAAGTACAGTAGTAGAAGTAGTGTAATGGGATGAAGTAGTAGAAAATACCTTTAGAAAAGTTACTCTGTGAGAAAATATTGATTTTTGGGGGGGGGGTTTGTTGGTTTGTTTGTTGGTTGTTTTTGTTTTAGGGTTGATGATATTGGCTAAACTGAGAATAAATCTAAAGAGTATAAAAAGTGTGTACTATCAGGTACTTCAGCGCCACCTGGTGTCTGTCTGTGCATGTCTAGAATGAGTGAACAATTTTCATCAGGTGACTGTTGCTAAATTATAAAATGACATGGGTTTCTAGTATTAAATCATCGCAGCTGCAGAGACATATTTATATTGAAGAACTGCAGAGGCTGGAGCCAGAAAGCGCCAAACCAATTTCTTGTTGTCATGACAATAGTGTCTGTAAGTGTGTGTAGAGAGGAACGAGAGAGATCAAACTCCATGCCCGAGGAACTTGAAGTTTGTTATTTTTTAGAGAAGAATCTGCAGCACAACAGTGTTTTCAGCAGGTTAGTGGTTCACTGCTACCCACAGAGGGTACACCAGCACTCCAGTCTGCACTCTGGTCACTCACCAGACTGAATGTAGAGCCACACCATGACTAGGATGCAACCTCTCTCCTCCTCCTCTTCAACAACTCTGACTCACAGCCCAGCACACAATATTCTGCCCACGAGAAACACCTATTTTACTGGGTTAGAAGACAGTTTTTCTCTCTGAATTCTAACTATGCCTTTAATGAGTTCATTTACACAAGCACTGTTTGTGGAGCCTTTCAGAAAAAAGGTTTTATATGTAACTATGCAGCCCTCTATAGCTGCATAGTATAAAGTACTGAGTAAAGTAACACATAAAGGTCATAGTTCAGGTTTTTTCTATTTTTATTTTTTTTTAATATTAGTTTAGGTAGTTTGCTCCAAATCTTGGTTTGGACAATCCAGCAAACTCTTATCCAGCTTGCCTTCTTTTTTAAAGACTGACCTGCATCCTTGGCGTGACATTACTGCCCCCTAGAGAAAAATGATCCTGATCATCATCACTCCTAATTATCTTTAATCATTATTGATCATTAAGATCATCATCAACACCCTACATCATCATCAACCTTCATCATCATCACCCTGCATTGTCATTCATCATTGTAATCATCTTTCATAATCATTCATCATAATTTATGTTTATCATAATCATAATTTATCATATCATCATCTTCATCATTATCATCAGCACCCTCGTCATCATCATGGACCAACTGCTGTTCCATCATGTGCTGCCAGTCTGACTGGATAAGCTTTTTTAAGAAAGAACTGTAAACCGGTGGCGTCTACTGTGCTTTAACTCAAGTGATGCAAATGATGTTTGTCACATTTAAGATATTAGAGCAGTACAGCTGTTGGAAGCTGCAGTAACACAAGGTGCAGACGATCAAAGTGTGAAGACAGGGGAGGCTTTGTAGAATTGAATCCCATTCTTCATATCATAATAATGATTAAATCAAAGCTTGGGATCAATATAAAGGCTCGTTTCTGAGGACTGTCTCAGAGAAGTATACGTCCTGCTGGTTCTATAGTCTCATGATGATCCAGATTAACACAGTTATGCAACAGTGGAAACACAGAGATTTGCGAGCCTCCACATGTGAGTTGATCTAGAGTGGAGCATCTTGCTGCAGGACGAAGTGGGAGGTCAGGTCCCTCCCTGGCTCATCCATGCACCTCCCTCCCCACTGCAAATGCTGACAAATATATCCAGCGTTGGTAAAAGAGACTGCTGTGCATAAAGGCTCCAAGGCTATTTTTAGACCTCCTTAGCAACACTATGAGTGCACATTTTGTGTGGAATCCTCACAAAATATATCACTCTGTGTGTGTGTGTTTATGTGCATACTAATCAAGTATCTACATAGCTCTAAAGTGTTTTTCTACAGTTAAAAATCTGCTTCCTATAAATATTCACTCTCTTTACCTCTGATCAATATGACAGGATAATGAATTCAAAATGTTTTATATAACAGTCAACGCCTCAGTGGTTTGTGAGAGCTCAACAATAAAAACTGTTATCTGTTCTTTATCCTTCTGACTTGCTTCTCTCCTCTCCTCCTCTCTCTCGGATTACAGACTTCATCCATCGATATAACAGATACAACCAGACGCCTGCAGGATCTTCAGCAGATAACAGGCCACAGACAGCACCGACGGACACATGTCACAGGTACAACACTTCTGATGTGCTACTATTCATCCATCTGTGTCTGTTATGTTTTTATTCACACATTAATTTACACAATGTGCACATGTCCTAATTAGACTAACTACACTTCAAAGACTGAGAATCTACAGCCTGTCAAACATCAGCTGTCCATCTCATACATTAGACTAGAATTTTTTTTTAAAAAAAACCTTTTAAAATTTTTAATTTATCTGAACAAACAGTAAACATACACAGTAAATACTGGTATTAGTGCTGTGGTACAATAGAATAGATCTATCATAGATGGCTGTGATGTGGGGATGTTGACATGGTTACTTTTGGCTGAATAAATACTGCTGCTGCTCTCTATATTTTTTGTTCCTCTGGTCCTTAAATGGTCAGTACCTGGTACTATTGGACCCAAGATTTAAAAGAAAATACCCACCACTCTAACACCACGACTATTTTAACTACACATCTGAATATCTTAGCATCAGTAGAGATTAATCAGATCAGACAGTGTTTGTTTAAAACCCCTTCATCTCATTTGAGGAGGCCTGTGTGAAACACTGCCTCTGGATGGTTTTAAGGTGACGTGTGAAGTGTGGCCTCCTGCTGCTGTGGCTCATCTGCTTTAGAGTTTGATGTAATGTTTTAACTGAGCTTTTCACCTCACACAAACGCAAGTGGTTGCTATTGGTTTCATACCAAATATATATATATATTATTGCTTTTCTTCAATATTTGTATCTTCCTATGTTTTCTGATAATCAGACTAGCTCATGTAGCTAGCTATGCCATTGTTAAAGTAACATGAATCGTCTTTCACTTTGAGTCCGATGCTGTGTTTTTCATTTATAAACGACTTTTCACATATAATTGTCTAATTAGAAATTTAAATTTTACCTACAGAAATGTATTTAGTTGTAGGGTAGGTTAGATCTGTGTGTATCTGTTATTACAGAAGGTCCAACCATCTGATCTCATGGACGCTCACAGGCGTTGACTTTATTCAGGGACCCTCTAATCAAGGGGCTAAATTTGTCTTTTTTCCAGATGTGGCTATGTTTTTAGTGAGTGTGCTCTTTGTCATTGTTTTAAGGTTGAGCAGGAAATCTCACTTGTCCAGAGGAGAATGTCTGACCTGGAGTCAGTTCTGCAGCAGAAGGATATTGAGTTAAAAGCCTCAGAGACCCAGAGGAGCATCCTGGAACAGGACCTGGCCACCTATATCACAGAATGTAGTGTAAGTATTCCTGTAGTCAATGAAGTCTAGCACTTGTAACATGACTATTGTCGGATCACTGATGGGCGGGAATTTAAATGATATCTCTTTGACTTGCATGCACTTCAAGTGACGTTCTCCATTTATTCTTTATCAACCTGAACTGGACATGAATTTTCAACTCTCACGGTTGGATGAATATAAAAATGAAATCCTTCCTGTAACAAAGCAGCACACAGCAAAGCTGCAAAAAAATACTCCAAATTATGTGTAAACTGATATTAGCATTCACAACAGAACTTAATTGTTGTAATGCGGACTGTTCTAGATTTCTGTACATGCTGACAAACTGAACTGTGTGCTGTGGCTTTTATTACTGCAGAGTCTGAAGCGCAGTTTGGAACAGGCCCGTATGGAAGTGTCACAGGAGGATGACAAAGCTCTGCAGCTCCTCCATGACATCCGTGAACAGAGCAACAAGCTCCAGGAGATCAAGGAGCAGGTAGTAGTTCCAGCTTCTGTTGCAGGTGTTTACCACTGGGTCACAGTGCTCGAGTACTATACTGTACTTGCTCTGTGATAAAGGAAGGCTTGGAAAGTAGAAGCACTGGAACACATTATTGATCAAGTAACTAAACATTTTACTCCAGTCAGATTTAAGTCAAGTTCTTGTCCTGAACCATAGCACCCTTGACTATAGTGTGAGTTGATTTTATTTTGTATTTATTTTTTACATTTTTCTTTTTATTACTGCCACCCACTTTTAATTCACTATTTTCAGCTCTACTTTTAGGGATAGTAGTTTTGCCTCTTTTTTTCTACCTCGTAATTGTTTCCCAATATAGTTACATTCAAATGTAATTTAATTGTATATTATGTAATTTAAGCTCCTTTGTTTATTATATGAAAATAATATCAATTCAGATCAACAGTTATCCTGTCTGGTATTTTCTAATATATTCATTGCTATCTCTAAGTTATTTCACAGCTTACTTTAGGTCAATACTTAGTCCAAACCTGGTCTAACCATATCCTAGCTTTTGGATAAATATACTTATAACCTTATAAAATAGGTAATTCAGCCTTTTCTCTAACATCTTTGGCCATAGATTTGCTAGATTGTATTTGCTGCACTAACACTAACTAAAATCTTGTTTATTTTTTGGGGGCTGATTGATATTTTTCATTGCAACCATTACGTCAGTGTCTGACGCTGGTATTCACCGTCTCCCATTTCCGAGTTCAGAAAAAAATACTCCACTCTACACGCAGACCCTAATTACTGCAAATTTGAATATGACAAGAGTGTGTTATTGGTGAGTGTGCGTCTGCATACAGTGGCATTTCTACATGACGTTGAGCTGGCAGCTGTGAGAATGAAGCCCTTCCAGGACTGACTTGTTTACAGCTAAAAACAATAGAATCTCATCCCACAGACATTATATCTGCCACTTTTTCTTCAAAAGGTAATAGAAGAGCAACCTATTTTTCCTCAGCCTACACTCGGGCTGCTTACCAAGTGCTGGAGACATTGTGCAACGGTTGCCATGGAGATGAGAGCCCTATGCCTACGAGTGAAGGGCACACTGATGCAGTGGGCAGGCTGTCGTGATCAAGTGCTGGGGCCTTAGCTCTTATATTCACTTTTAAAAAGTGAGCATACCTTGGGATTTCATTCTATTTACAACAAGCAATGTGACGATGCAACCATCAAGCAACCAAGGAAGTTAACGCAAAATAAAACACCAACCATCCAACGCACAGAAGAGGGTGGAGGCAGAGGAGGTGAATTAGTTTAATTGATTTATTTTTATATGTTTTTGCCGATGTCATCATTACATGTTCTTTTGTCCAAAATCAAAGACAGGAACGTCGAGTGGTCCGCATTTAAGCTGTTTTTATTACAAAGTGAACAAGAGCAAGAGTTACAAAGTACTTTCAAAGCAATGTAAAAACGAACTTACAGAGTTTTCTCTTGAGTCGGTGCTGATCTAGCAGCCTGCCGGATATTCAGGACCTATGCCAGGAGCGCTGACTGACTTGTCTTCACCCTCTGCCGCACATGTGGAACTGTCCAGGAAGGCTGTCACCTTGTGGTCAGGTCACACACAATTCAGGATCTGGGGTGTCATAAACTTCAGGGTCTGGTGTCATAAATTTGTGGTTAACCATTCTGCGCTGATAAGCATTTGTTTAACTAAACATTCAGTTGAGTTTGGACAATGGACATTAAGTTGAGTTTCAGTAGAGCAGTAACATTTCTATAGCTGTCATAAAAGTGTGGTTAATTATTTAGCGAACATTCAGAGTCACCATTTTGAGTTTTAACAAAACAGTAACATTCTTACACCGACAACAGTCAAGTGTTACCTGTCATAGCTAGAGACCCTGAGTACCAGGTGATAAAATACCAGGTAGGTCAGAAAAAGAAGCTGCTGTAGTATGTACTGCAATGTACTGTAGTGTGGAAATAAAAGGGAAGGTTTTTAGAATCTGAGGGAAAGGGCTGTATTTGGAGGCAGGAAGAAACAATCTGGCAGCACTTTTGGCGTGAAGAAGGTACAGAAAGACATTTCCAAAAAGCACAGAAAGACCAAAAATGGTACAGGAAACTCAGTAGTCTGTTATAGAAAGGGAACATGCAGACGATGTCAGTGTTGGCAATAACATGAAGTAGAAGAAGAACAGGTGAAAAAGAAAATGAAGAAAAGGAAGATGAAGACTGCTGGATGTAAATAGATTTGTATATTTTGGACAGAATGAACAACTCTCACAACTAATTACAGTGGTATTTGATAAATACCATATGAAGGTAAAAAGCCTTTATCAACTTATGTGGTGATTTTCAAGAGAGGTGTTACAGCCATATCCATATGAGTGCAGTGTTAATCATTTTCATACAAAAACCGTGCAGTGTTGGATCACCAAACAGCAGAGATCGAGGACAGACGAGTTCATAGAAAAAGAAATCTGTGGGAGAGGGGCCATTAAGAACTGATAACATACAGGATGTGAAGAGACCAAGTGGAGAGAGAACTATGATAAGGGACAACTACAGTGCTTTAAGTCTAAGTTCAACACAGTCACATGACACTTTAAATAAGACAAGGACAGATCTCTACTCTGTCATCTTATGTTATGATATACAAAAAATGTTTTTGTGTAGGTCATAAAACCATCTCGAGATGGAATGTAAAGACATTTTTGACTTAATTTTGAAAAATTATTTGGACCAGTTTTAGCTATCTCAGGTAACTCTTAGTGGAATTTTAGCTATTTTTGTTTTTTGGTTAAATAAGTATTATTATCACATTTATTCATTAAAATAAAATGTTATTTATTTGTTTATTTTATTCAAATTCTTTTTGCTTTGCAAAAGTTGATCACATCTGGTCTATTCTGTTAGCTTCTAAGCAAAGTTTTGCTGTTTTTTGTGGCTTACTGAAGCTGATCCTGCCTTTACTAGCCTCAGTAGCTTCTTATTACTCTATCTACTCTATCATCTATTTTACTTGACCTAGAATGGCTAACCCTAACTCATTTACCATATTAACACTAAAGCACACAGGTCAGCAGAGTCTGGAGTCGAACCCTAAACTATCAGAGTGTAAAGCGTCTCCACATATTGATCCTCGTCGGCCTCCGTGCTTTTTGGAGAGCACATTGAATTTCCTCCTAATTAGAAATGTGATATATAAACAAAACTGCCTACTTTAATTCCACTACGGTGAGTGCTCATTATTCGACTGAATGTGTTAAAAACAACAATTTATCTAAACTTGGAAAAGAGAACACAGCTAATGGGGCAAAGCCCTGAAAGAGACTGTAACATTGGCAGTCATTTTCCAAACTCCGTGTTTGGGCTGTCTGTTTCCCCTTCCTGTTTTGGCTGCTGGATGGAGTTAGTGTCTTGATACTCACCTGTGTCTCTGATTAGTCTCACTGGTGTCACCTGGTGCCCTGGGTATATATACCTCTCTCCCTCACTATGTTTTTGTGGGGTTAATGGTCAGTTCTGGTCATAGTAAGGCTGTGTTGGGTGAGTCTGTTTTCGGCTGTGTTTAGAGTTCATGCCTAGAAATTGACATGTTTTTGAGAAGTCTATGCTGTGTAGTATTAACAAGTGAGTTTTATGTTGTTTTGACACTGTAATAAACCTGCTGCACCTGAAGAGAGTCTCCATTGTGCTGCATTTGGGTCCTGCCTGCTTCCTGCCATGTTGACTGCCTATAACGTTCTGATATTCATCCTTCTTCTTATTTGGATCTGACAGCAATGATTAGAAACATCTGTATTGACTCCTGCCTTTCTGTGACTGGTTCATTAGACTCTGGCTCCAGACTGAGTGTCTCCTCCACTCTTGCTGCTTGTGTCCTTCCTTGTAATGCATGTGTAGTAAACAAGTGCTCTACAGGATTTTAAGTCCTTTCTCTACCGACTGGTGGGCACTTTCTCTAAAATAGAAATATTTAAGCTCCTCCCACTCATCTTTAGATTTTTTTATTTCGGAATGATTGTATCTTCCTCTTGACCTTTATTTTGAAGGCTATATTTTCATGCTAAACCGGAAGTAGGAAGTAAAACGCTAGAATTACGCTTGGGAACATGTTTTTCAGTTCAGCAAGCCGTTACAGTGCCGACGAGCATTACACCAGAAGGGTCTTGGACCAGCTGTTCATTCCTAGTGGAGGCATTACTTGTATGTACTGTTTATACTTTAATCAAGTGATTGTGTATGTCTGTTTATGCCATGCTGTAAGAATGAAGTTGATGAACTGGAAGTAATATTGCTTTGTTTGATTTATGATGCTAATGGTAGCCTTGTTGGCAAACAGTTGTTAGCATGTGGATGTTTGCATGGTGTTGCACTGATTTGCAAAAAGGAAGATTTATTCAGGATACTGGGGCATTTAATTGATTATATTGTGTATTGTATTGTTTTTCTCCTAGTTTTCACTCTTGGATGTTTGAATACTGAATGTAATCTAGACCTCTTGTCATCTGAAGTTGGATTCAATACAATATAAAGATTAAAAATTAAATTAAACAAGAACCATGGGATCCTTCATATTCATGAATATAAGAGAGTTTAGCTGACGGTCTAGTCAGAGTTTCTACACCTTAGTGAGGACAGTACAGCTGTCCTGTACATTCATATTAATCTAAAGGTTATGCTGTGGATGACAGAAAAGCTTATTTTACAATATTTTTTTCTCTGGACTGCAGTGATTTGCCAAAGAATACATTTTTTCTCCTGATTGACATGAAAAGTTGTAATTAAATGATATTTAATTATTAAATGCAGATATTTTGCAGAGTATTTTCTCATTAGTACTGTCACGTGTGGGCATCGACATGGCAGGAAGCAGGCAGGACCCAAATGCAGGACTAGTGCAGGTAGTTTATTTCAAGATTCCAATTTCCAAAACCCAGAACAGAAGCATAGGCAAAGTATAGCACAGCAACAGACTTGCTCAGGAACAGACTAGGAACAGCTACAACAAAAAGCTCGACACAACGCTGGCACAAACAATACAGCACTCACAAAGACAGTCTCTTAATGATCCCACAATATATACAAGGAGCACCAGGAGACACAAGTGAGGTTAATTACAGAAACACATGTGAGTGTGATCACACAGATTACCCCACACAGCAGACAGCAGGAAAAGGAAACAGACAGACCTGACAAGTACAAACTGTTTTACTGTGATAAAGGTAAGGGGCGTGGGTGCAGATTACCACGTGTTTTACTGTGTGTCAGGAAACTTTTTCTGTTAGATAGGACTGTAAAATATGCTGTTAGTTCATACCCCCAGTTTCCTAACACACAAAGAATCAAATAAAAATCAAATATGAGATCTCAAAGTTTTAAATGTTTTACTTGCAGCAAGGAGTGCAGAACAATGGTTACATTCAGAACTCAAAGCTTAACTTTCTCCAAGTGTAACAGTCGGTACCATTCAGTGCTGTCCATATCATATTGTTATGTAATCCACCAGCATGCACACCTGTCTTCAGCACTTTCCCTTTTAGTACAGCATAATAACAGCATTCAATAACAGTATAAATTGATATGGAAACTTAATACAATGAATATATTGTAAAGATTGAATACATGTTTACAACATCTTAACACTGTGATAAAACTCTTTTTCCACCATTTTTTTCTTGTCTAATATACTCTGTTGAACTGTCTCAGGTTACAGTGCATTACTCTGACAGCTTGATGTTCCTCACAGGCCGATGAGAAGGTTGAAATTTGATTTATTATGCTGTGACTGATTTCTGTTGTGTAGTTCTGAAATGAAGTTTGGAACTCTGAATGTAGGTACAACTACAGGGAAAAGTAGAGAACTAGCTGATATGATGGAGTTCATGTGTGTAACATAAGGGAGAACAGTGAAATGGTGAGGTTACAAGGACCAGAGATGGTGAATGTGCAGGAGTTTAAGTACCGTATTTTCCACACTATAAGACGCACTTAAAAGCCTTTAATTTTCTCAAAAATCGACAGTGCGCCTTATAACCCGGTGCGCCTTATGTATTACTTCTGGTTGCGCTTACTGAGATCGAACCGATTTTATAAAGCCAAACCATACAGCGCATCACACATGATGACACACAACTGAAGCACGCTGGGAGCCAACAATGATGTTTAACTCTGTTATCACAATTATAAGATGATCAACAACAATTGTTACAGTATGGTTGTGTAACCCAAATCTGTGCAATGTCGCATCGTGCCTCCAAACACCCGAAGACTCCACAAGGATGACTCAGACGCATGGCTGTCGATTTTTTTTTTCGTGGTCAAGACCTCTTTTTATTTCTCAGTTTTTATTGATACTGGCAAAACACACACTCTCTGCAAAACATCTGCACTTCAGCACGGAACAGCGTCAAAACAACAATACGGTGACCACCCAGAACAAAAATAGTGACGACCGCCTGACTCTGGAGGGGCCAACAACAACAAAAACAACAGCGTCCTCCAGTGTCCAACTTAGGTCACACTTTTTCCACAAATCTCCGTCCCTATTGATATGCGACTCCCATGTCAACAATATTGTCAAAACCCAAGTGAAGCAAACTAATTTGGGGCTTGCCATCATTCCGGGTGGATTAACCACAGAATTCCAACCGCTAAATATTGGTGTTAACATGGCATTAAAGTTAAGTTACGAGCTGCGTAGGAGCATTGGATGACAGAAGGTGAACACACATTCACCAAGACAGGGAGGCAACGCCGGGCAAGTTACGCCACTTTCTGCTTATAGATCGTGGATACCTGGGCTAAGATATCAGTTCAAAATGTCGTCCGAGTTTCCACGAAGGCCGAAATCATCACTGCTTGATTGTTCCGCTTAATTGTTTCGCTAAGTGTTTTGTTTTTTGCTTAATGCGCCTTATAACCCGGTGCACCTTGTGTATGAAAATATTCCCGTTTATTGATAGTGCGCCTTATAATGTGGTGCGCCTTATGGTCCGGAAAATACGGTTCTTGTGGAAGAGAGGTGAAGAATAGAGTGCAGGCAGGATGGAACAGCTGGAGAAAAGTGTCAGGAGTGATCTGTGATAAAAGAGTGTCAGCTAAGGTGAAGGGAAAGGTTTACAGGACGGTGGTGAGACCATGTATGGTTTAGAGACAGTAGCAATAGGCAGAAGACAGGAGGCGGAGCTGGAGGTGGCAGAGTTAAAGATGCTAAGATTCTCTTTAGGAGTGACAAGAATGGACAGGATCAGGAATGAGGTCATTAGAGGGACAACACAGACAGGAAGGTTTGGAGAAAAAGCCAGAGAAGCCAGATTGAGATGGTTTGGACATGTGCAGAGGAGGGACAGTGGATACATTGGTAGAAGAATGTTAGAGATGGAGCTACCAGGTAGGAGAAAGAGAGGAAGGACAAAGAGGAGATATATGGATGCAGTGAGGGAGGACATGCAGGTAGTTGGAGTCAGAGTAGAAGATACAGAGAACAGGGAGAGATGGAAATCAATGATTTGCTGTGGCAACCCCTGAAAAAAAGGGACAAAGCTGAAAGAAAAAGAAGATATGGCCAAAAAGACTTTTTTCCCTAAATGTTTACCAGATGTTTGACTTTCTGTTTTAATACAGATTTTTTTAAAAGGCTTGTGAATTACAACAGGGTGTATCGCCTGTGTATGCTATTTTTTAATGTTGTAGAACAGAATCTATGTCTTATTTTCCTTGATACTGTATGTCTTGCATGTAACGCTGGTCCAGATTAGACAAGGACAAATGTAATGGACTAATTGTATTTGTTAAAATGCAATACATTTGTATGCAATCACATGATGCCATGACTGCTCCTTCAGTACTTCAGTACCTAAGTACTGAAGTACTGAAGGAGCAGTTATTCCTGAGATGTTTTGACGTTATTAAATTTCTGTGCCCTTGACAAACGTTTGGACATACAAAACTTAATTGAATTTCTCTCAGAGGAAATTTATTTGAATCTATTGATATTGAGTTTAGTGCCAGTTCTCTTCTCCTGCCTCTCCAGGAATACTGTGCTCAGCTAGAGGAGATGAGAGTGACCATCAGACAACTGGAGGAGGACCTGTCTGCTGCTCGATGTCGCAGTGACCTGTACGAGGCTGAACTGAAAGATAATTGTCAGACCAGCGAGGAGCTGAACAGAAAAGCTGCAGATTATCAGCACAGGGTAAAGAAGGAAAATAATTTTTTACTTGTTAATGTTTAATGTTTTTGAAATTGTTCATGAAGATATTTTTCCTTTTTGTGTTTTTAATGACATTCATGTGTCCTCGCTTATTTTTTAATATCTCCACAGGCCAGAGAACAGGAAAAAGCAGAGTCAGAGGAGGCAATCACCAAACTGGAGAAGGTGGTGTATGAAGATAGGTTACATTCATTTTTAATTTTATCCCTGAATATAACAAATAACCTTTTTACTTACTTATTTATTGAACTTAAAAACACGTCAACTTGTTCAATATAACTATTTGCCATAAAGAATTTTACTAATGGAGTCACCCCTGCCATTTGTACACAGTTACTGTAGTCTGGTCTGTGATGTCTGAAAATACATAGCGATCAGTAAACTGGAAAAAAAAGACATTGTAGTTTTAATATTTATTAGCTGTTTTCAGCTAATGCAAAGCTAGCTAGGCTAATTAGTTGCTATTAGCAAGCTAGGCTAACCTGTTGCTATTTTCTGCATATTTTGCTTTTGCATGTCAGTTGACAGTTAGTCATCTAACTGATTTTGCTTATTTTTTAGCATTTATTTTTATAATTATCTATGACTTTACTAGATTTTACAGTTTATTTTTAAGCAGTGTGAACTATTAGCAACCTTTTGGACAAATGCCTAACCAATATCCTTCTTTTATCTTTAACCCAGCTGGCCTGCTATAATGCCCAAGTGGCAATTACCTACTAGGTTACCTAACTTTGGTTTACATTTTATTGTATTTTTAGCAGTGCAGGTAATATGAAGCCAAAATACTTATTTTTATTTAATTACCTACTATAGTCCACAAATATATATTTTGTTAAGACTGTAGTAAAAAAAAAA